TGTTTGCAGGATGAGGGCAGGCATTGGGGCGTCCTGGGTGGTTTCTCTAATTTCCCCCAGCTGGGAGAGACAATAAGCTATAGTAGAAGTCCAGGCTTTGCAATCAGAGGGATTGGGTTTGAATCCTGGCCTTGCCTTTACCAGCTGTGTGATCTTGATTAAGCTACTTACCTTCTTTGAATCCATTTTCTCACCTGTGGAGCAGGGGAATTCAGTATCTGCTTGGCAAAGCTCTAGTGAGAGATGAATTAGATCAACTGAAGGTGGACAGGAAACGATAAGCTTCATTATCATGTGGAAGAGGACCAAGACGAGAGGGGTACCAGTTGCACAAACTTCTTCCCCCAATACACACACACACACCCCTTTCTTGCAGCTGCAGCCAAAGGGATCCTGTTAAAATGTATGTCAGATCATGTCATTCTTCTGCTCAAAGTCCCCCAATGATCTCTCACCAAAAGTCAAAGTCAAAGTCTTCATAAAGGCCACAGGTCCTTGGTAGGTCCCCCCACCACACCCCAACAATACTTCCTCTCTCTGCTGTGCTCCCTTGCTGCCTGGGCTCCTTGCTGCTCCAGGACACCCTGACATACTCCTGCCCCAAGGTCTCAGCACTGCCACCCCCTGTCCTGGAACACATTCACCCCAGGCATCTGCCTGCATGTTTGCTCCCTCTCCTCCTTCCTGTCTTTGCTCAAGTGCCATCTGTCGGAGGACTGCTGGCCACTCTGTCTAACATGAGGTCCTCAGTCCTCTCTTCCTGCTTTGTTTCCTCCACAGCCTGATCATTGACTGACACACTGTGAAATGCCTTTCGTTGATTGTCTCCACTCACAGGAATATAAGTCCCACAAATGCAGGGTGGTGTTGTTGTTTTTTTTTTGTCTATTAATATGTTCACATTCATAGTAATCTCCAGCATCTAGGCATATGAGTAGGGACATAATACTTGTTGAATGAATACCTGAATGAAGGAGAGGACTGGAGTTCTGGGGGGGTGCAAGTAAGAGGGGTTCATGGCAAGAAGGACACCGTCACGTTCCTTTTCTGCCCATTGAGGGCCTTGGACTAGGTCCCCAGGAGACTATGAACCCAAGGGAACTGTGTACATCACTAGATGAGTTCCTGCAGACATTTAACAGAGCCTGTGACCTCCCAGGGCTAAGCACCTTCTCTGCTCTGACATTTCATGGTTGGCTCTAAGGCTCAAATCCTTGCTTTCTAAGGACCTGTGATGCTAACATTCCATGATCTAATTCAAGTCTCAGCAGCCACAGTAGGTCAACATGGTGAGGGCGGGGGGCCTGTGGGGACACAGAAGGGAAGACAAGGGAGACTTCTATATTATATATGCTGTTTTCTTCCTTTTATGTAAAAGAAAGTGGATTTAAAGCAAGTGTGACAAAATGTGTGCAGTCGTCAACGCTGGATACTGGGCACGGGGTGTTTATCACAGAGCTTTGTGCTTTTCTGTATGTCAAAAATTTCTTTCAAGAATACAGATTTGGTGGTGGGCAGGGCAGTTATAGCTTATGATTAGGAATGGAGAGGCTGCTTCTGGGGACCTGGGGGACCTGGACTTCGGGCCCTTTTCCAGTGTGCGTATGGGCAGAGGGGATGGCTGGAGTCTGGGCCCATCGCAAACTGTCAGAGCCCCCTCTTCTCCCCTCGCCCCCCTTCCCAGGTCTCAGTTTCCTGCTTTCCTGGGGAGTGGAAAAGGCTGAGAGGCCCCGTGCTGGGGATGGAGCTAATTCATTAGTGAAGTCTCAACAAGGACTGGGCACCCGCAGTGCCAGCGTGATTCATCAACACGATTGCCCGCTGCCAGCCTGCGTGGGCCCGGAACGCCAGCACATTTTACCTGTACCCGCTGCGAGGGACCTGGTGGGAGGTGAAGGTACAGCATCTACCGAAAGCAAGAAAAAGACTTGGAGAAAGGAGGCTGGTCCCCTGTGCCCGAGCCCAGGAAGCTCTGTTAGGCTGGTACTGGAGTTGCAGGAGCGCATATATGACTCCTGCCAGTGCAGAGGGCTGCCTGGTGCCGGAGTGCCAGCTCCAAGCATGTGGTGAGGGGGGGCTAGCTGGGCTTCCTCCTCCACAGCGAATGTTCCCTTGGGAAACTGCTTGAGGGGCAGCAGGAGGTGGGGGTGGGGGAGGTGCTCATCCTTATCCATCAGCCGGGCTGGGTTTTCCTCAGCTTTCTGTTGGTCTCTGTGGTATCAATTCTTCCAAGAAGTTCTCCCAAATGTGTACAAGAAAAAGCATTGAATTGGGGCTTAGGTGAGGTCAGGAAGGACCTTGAAGCCCCTCTGGCTAGGGCTCGGATCCTCCTGTACCCCAGCTCTGGTGTTGGCTTCACTCTCTCTCTGCCTGCCCACCCCCTTCGTCTAAAGTCCTGTCTGCATCTCATCAGTCTCCATCCCAAGACGGGGGCCTCTGGCTGGTTCCTGCCTCACAGCAATACCTGCCTCTGTGTCTCCCATCACCGGGACATTCCTTGCCCGGTTACAACTGCTATTGTTCCTTTATCCCACACATTCACACGGAGTGTCTGAGCAAAAAACGCCAGGAGCAAAAAAAGTACACGCTGAATAATTTCATTTATATGAAATTTAAGGACAGGCAAAACTGAGCCATGATGATAGAGGTCAGGATCATCGTTGCCTCTGGAAGGTGGGAAGGTGGGAATTGACTGACAGAGGCATGAGGGAACTGAGTGACAGAACTACACGGGTGCTCACATTTGTCAAAACTCAAACTGTACACTTACACGATCTATGCTTTCCACTGTATGCAAAGTCTGCCCCCATTTTTTAAAATGTTAAACATTTCTTTGAGGCGCTGGCCTGTGTAGTTTAGTGTCATGGGTTCAATTCCCGGTTGAGAGCATGTATCTGGGTTGCACGTTTTTTGTTTTTTTTTAATCCTCATCCGAGGACATTTTTCCATTTTTTTCCAGATAGAGTGGCGAGGGGGAGAGAAACATCGACGTGAAAGGGACACATCGAGTGGCTGCCACCCACACAACCAACCAGGGCCGGGGACAAACTGCAACCGAAGTACGTGCCCTTAGCGGGAACCGAACCCGGGCCTCTCTGGACCGCAGGCCAACACTCCAACCGCTGAGCCAAACCGGCCAGGGCTGGGTTGCAGGTTTGATCCACAACCCTGGTCAGGACAGGTGTGTCTTTCTCTCCCTCTCTCTCTCCCTTCCACTCTCTCTAAAAATCAATGGAAAAATATATCCTCAGGTGAGGATTAACAACAAACATTTCATTGAATACCTACAATATGCCAGACGTGTGCCAGTAGGGGAGACAACCTTGCCTGTCCCGTGGAACTCACACACAGGGAGTGTGGTTCTTATCCTGACGTTGCCTTGGCCACTGTTCTCTGTCCTTGACTCCCCTCCGGCTCTGCCTGCAGTGGGGATGGGAGTGGGGGTGAGTCAAAGAGCAGGGTGCTGCCCAGAGGTCTGTCCCTTCAGCCAATTACATAGTCACCACAGGACAGAGGAGGCAAGTGCCTAATCCCCCGGGGCCACTTTCCTCATCTTTCATATGGGATTAGTAATGCCTTCCTTGTAGTTTTGGCACCAGGTTAGAGGCTCCATTGTGAGAAAATTCATTGCCCCAGGTGCAGTTCTCATTGTTTCCATTGCAGTTACCAGGTGCAGTTACCATTGTTACTGGCCAGTGGTGCACGGTTAAGAGCACAGGCTGGAGAGCCACATCGCCGGGTTTCAAATCCCAGTGGGGTGACCTTGAGCAAGTCACTCACCTCACCTCAAACCTCTGAGAACCTCATTTCTTCATCTTTAACATTGGGGTAATGAGAGTACCTACCCCACAGGCGGGTCACAAGGATTCAATGCAATGCTCTCCGTGTAGTGCTGAGCACACGGCAGGCTCGCAATAAATGGGAGCGAGCCTTCTGCCAGGAGCTTTGGCAGGAGGGCTCTGTTGGGAGGGGAGAAGGCTGGGGAACACAGCTGGGCTGTTGGTGGGAGCATGCGCAACAGGAGAGTCATGGAATGAAAGTGGCCATCCTTGGTGGGCGCTCAAAGGTGCTTAGGTGTCCCAGTCTTCTGTCCACCACAGCCACACAGACTTTCAGCATAGCTGGGGGGAGGTGTCAGGAGCTAAGTGTGTGTGAGTGCAATAACGAGGAACCTGTAGGGCAATAAGGGTGTCCAGGGCGGGGAGGGGGACGGAGCCAGGCTCTGGGTCTGCGGAAGTCCTCCGATGTGACCCACCCTAAAAAGGGCCAGACGGTAACACTGTTCCGAGTTACAATCCTAAAGTGACCGTAGCGGGGAGACCTTAGGGACAAGTAGTGACCACAAGCCTCAGTGCCTCCTCGCGAGCCACGTGTCCAGAGTGCTGGTTCTTGTGCCGGCGTTTCCTTGGTCTTCGGCTCCTTGTTGAACTTGCGCATCTGGGAGCGAACGACGCAAACCAAATGGCTCGCTGTAACGGGAGGTGCGCTGGACCGCGTCGGACGTCGGGTCTGTGTTGGCATAGCGCCAGGCTTGCGACGCGCGGACCCTGGGTTCCCTTGGCCCCAGCTGGCTCCGGGGCGGGTGGGATAGGATGGCGGGGGGCCGGCCCGGGCGCCCGTACCCCCAGACACTGGCAGCACCTTGGCCCCGCCCCGCTCCGCCCCGCCCTCCCTCCGCCTCATTGGCAGCCGCGTCGGGGGTTGCCAGGGCGACGGGTCGCCTAGCTGCGAGTCAGAGCTAACCCGAGTCAGTCCGCCGGCGTAGGGAGCCGGGGAGGCCAGAGGGCGAGCCACGGAGCGCAGCGCCCCGCGGCGGGGCCCCAAGCGGGCGCCTCCGGACGGCCCCGCACGGCCCCCCTCCCGGCGCAGGGGCAGGCCGGGGCGGGGGGCCCGGGGCCCGAGGCCGCCTCGGTCCCGTCGGGGCGACAAGGGGGCGACCAGGGCGGAGCGATGCCGGGCGCCGGCGGCGGCGGCAGTGGCCCCGGTCGGGGCCCGTGACCATGGGCATCGCCGAGTCCACGCTGGATGAGCTGCCGTCGGACGCGGAGGAGCAGCTGCGCCACGGCGAGCAGCAGCTGGAGCTGAGCGGGAGGCGGCTGCGGCGGCTGCCCAGCGCCGTGTGCACGCTGAGCCGCCTGGAGAAGCTGTACGTGAGCGGCACGGGGCTGCGCGAGCTGCCGGAGGAGATCGAGGAGCTGCGCGAGCTGCGCATCCTGGCGCTGGACTTCAACAAGCTCGAGCGCCTCCCCGACGGCCTGTGCCGCCTGCCGCGCCTCACGCGCCTCTACCTGGGTGGCAACCGGCTGCTGGCGCTGCCCAACGACTTCGCGCAGCTGCAGAGCCTGCGCTGCCTCTGGATCGAGGGCAACTTCCTGAGGCGCTTCCCGCGGCCGCTGCTGCGCCTGGTGGCGCTGCAGTCGCTGCAGATGGGCGACAACCGGCTGCGCGCGCTGCCCGCCGAACTGCCGCGCATGACCGGCCTGCGCGGCCTCTGGCTCTACGGCAACCGCTTCGAGGAGTTCCCGCCTCCGCTGCTGCGCATGGGCCGCCTGCACATCCTCGACCTGGACCGCAACCGCCTGGGCGGCTTCCCCGACCTGCAGCCGCTGCGCTCCCTGCGCGTCTTCTCCTACGACCACAACCCGGTCACCGGGCCGCCGCGGGTCGCCGACACTGTCTTCCTCGTGGGCGAGGGCGCCGTCGAGCGCATGGCGGAGCGCGACGAGCCGGTTCCCCGGCGGCCTCCCCGGCGCCCGGCGCGGGCCTTTGAAGACGAGGAGGAGGAAGACCTGCTCATTGGAGGCGCTGGCCCCCGGTCTCTTGGGGCGCCGGGGGGCAGCCTCCGCGTCCCGGAAGCCCCTCCAGGACTGGGCACCTGAGCCTGTACTCGGGGGTGGACTCAGGCCGCCCTGGGGAGGTCCACCGGAGTGGTGGGCAGAGGAGGGGCCACTAGTGGAGTTGACGGGCACGGGCAGGCCTGGGGTCCATCGTCAGACATTCCTGGTGGTAAGGCTGCCTCCTGGCTGGTCTCTGGGTACCCGGCAGACCGGGAAGTACCGGCCCCTCCAGTCCCCCGTACCTCTGTCTGGTCCCTGACAGGGCAGTAGAGGTGCCAGCTTCCCTCTGGACCCAGTGTCACCGCTGTCTGCGGAATCATCACCTTGGCTGAGTCTGGAGGCCCAGGTGCCGCCAACCTCCCTCCTCCAGGAGTTTGGACCCCCTAGACCCACCGTTCCTGGTGCAGGAGCCCCTGCATGCTGATGGACCACACACCTGTGTGAGGCTGGCGCCCAGGACAGAAATGGGGAACGGACTGGGGCCCTGACACCGCAGCTGCCCTTGCCCCTCCACCGGAGCTCACTGTACATTCCTCCCTCCCCAGGCCCCCCAAACTATGTATGGGGAAGGGGGTTCAGGAGGCAGGGTCTCCACCTCTGCCTTTTATTCAACTATCTTCTCCCAGCTTGCCGGCGGAATCTTGCTGGGAAAAAAGCTCTTCCTCCCTCCCCCCAGCCGGAGCCTTCCAGCCGTCAATTTTGAAAAGAAGCCACTCTGCCTTGAGGCCTCCTGCACTGAAGAGAGTGGATCTCTGCTCTGGGACGCTGCCTGGCGTCCTTTCCACTGCCTGCACTCTCCATTCCCTTAAATGGGCACAGTCAGGGTGGCTGGCACAGCGTGGGGCATGGGACGAGCACTGTGCCTCCACTCCGTCACCAGGGCAGCCTCAAGTGGGTGAGGAGGGGTGCCTCACTGCAATTCCCAGGGCCAGATCTTTCCCATCCAAGCAATAATGGGAGGAAGGGGGGCAGGGCCAGGGACACTCAGGGACACTGTCAGGGGCAGGGGCCCCACATGGTAGTGTTTTCATTAGGAAGGAAAAAAAAAAAAAACTGGCTGTAAACAAATTACATTTCTTGGAGAAAGAATGTGCGTTTCCCCAATGCCTGTTTATTTATAAGCCCTGGGAGCACTGAGTCCCATTGCTGGGGGGACCCTGGGCTCCCTCCGGCACTGCCCTCTGTCCATGTGCCTCCGCTCTGCATTAGACTGGTCCAGCCAACTGTTGTCTTCTGTCTAGGGAACAGGTACGAAAGGCTTTGGATGCGTTTGGTCTCTCAGTCTTGCTGTATCTGACTCTCTGCCGCCCAGCCTCCAACCACACCGCCCCCCTTCCTTGGTGTTTTCCAGGTAAATTCTCAGGTTCCTGACTCTTCACGTTTCTGACTCTTACTCAAGCCGGGCTGACCTTTCTCTATGCCTTCACTGGTACTGCCCCCTGCCCCCTCTGTGACTCTGTTCTTCCCTCCTTCCATCTCCCTCCTCCTGTTCTCTGTCTCTCCCTCTTAATCTCTTTTTATTCAGTTATGGTATTACTTTCTCCCTTCATTATTCAGAAAAAAAATATTAAAAATGTAAAGAAGGGAAGAAAATTGTACAGCCTCAAGCCTAGAGGCTCATCTCCCATGAGATTCTGCTAGGCCACCATCACCATGGCAACAGGGCTGATGTCATACAAAGCCCAAAGGTCAGGCCTGGCCAGCAGTTCTGCTGGCCACTGGGCTGGGCCTAGGTTAGGAGGGGGGGATGGTCTGGAGCTTGCAAGTGGGAGTGATGAACAGAAAGAGCTAGTGGGTGGGAAGGTTGGGGGCTGCCTCCTTAAGAAAGAAGAGGGGTCTGGGGGCTGTTTCAGATGTTGTCCCTCCCAGAGCTCCTCTGGTCCCCACACTCACCCTGTTGTGACTCCTTCAAGGCCAGTGGGCTTCTTGGGGTCTGGGAACTTAGAGGAAGGAAGTGAGATCTCAGATAACACAGGCTGGGTAGGAACGGCAGCCGACAAGCATGTCCTCTGACCCCGTGACTCATGTCATAGCATGGGGGAAATATCCCCGGTCCTGGAGTCAGACAACTTGGGTTCCAGTCCTAGTTCTATTGACTGAGTGACCTCGAGAACGCTCCCCCCGCCAGGGGCTTCAGTTTCTCCATCTACACACAAGGAATTGGTTTCTTTAGATCTGAAGCTGCAGCTCAGGAATCCATACAACCTGGGGTTTGTCTTCCTTCCCTTTACGTAAATCTTAGATGTTGGGAGTGGGTGCAGGGGGCAGCCATGGTCACCCTGGAATAACTGTTGGCATTGGGAGACAGGTGTCCTTCCTCTCAGGTCTGTTTCCTTGCTGCAAAGCTCCAGGTCAGGGCAAAGGCCCTGTGATGAGTCCCTCTGGGCCATCCTGAGGCCTGGTCCCCAGCTTTGAAACCCCCTTGCTCTCCACCATCAAAAGCCAGTTTCTCCTGGGAAGTTAGAGAGTTTGCTTAAAGTGGATGCTGGTGCCTGGCTAGAGAGCACTGCTGAGAGCGTCTCCATGTCGAAAGGGAGTGACCAGGGAAGGAAGGGGCTGTTGCCAGGGACAGCTGGGCATTACCGCTCCCCTCAGTGAGAAGAGAGCACTGTATTAGGAGTCCTAGAGCCCCTCCCCCACACCTAACTGCCTGTGGCTCCCTCAGGGGAGCGGGGAGGAGGGGAGGTGATTTTGGAGGGCCATGCGTCACAATGCTATGTCTGCAGTTCCACCAGCTATGCAAGGGCAGTCAGCAGTGTGTGGCCATGGGGCGGGGTGGGGGTTGGTCAGAGAGCCTTGGAGGAGTTGTGTTTGTGCCAGGCATGCAGGGCAGAGGCCAAGGAGTCGGCATCAGAGCAGGAAGGCAGGCAGTGGGGACAAGAGCAGAGGCTGCAGCAGAAACAGGCCCAGGGAGGGAGTGACTTGCCCATAAATGGGTGTTAGGCCTCCTAACCCAGGGCTCAATCCATGCCGAGGGAGGTCCCCTCTGTCCTTGGCTGGCGGTCAGGTCTGGTGCGGACTGAGTGGCAGTTGTTAGTAATCTGCTCTTCCTCCTGGAGACCCCACCCCACCCCAGCCAGACCTCCAGGCCAGCAGAGCAGCAGAGATCGGGGAGGGTTGGATCCTTTCCTAGCTCTGTTACTGCCACCCCTCTCTTCCTGCCCACCCTCAAGAGGCTCGGGAAAGCAGAACAGGGCTCTTGGGAGCTGGGACCCCTGCCCAGCAGTTCCTCCTTGCCTCCAATGCCACCACATGGGCTTTGCTCAGCCACTTGACCCAAAGCTTCCTTAAGACACCTGGGCACTCTTGTTCTGAGGATGGACATTTATTAGCACACCCAGGTGTGCCACACAGAACATGTCTTCAGACAGGAATCCCTGCCCAGGGGGGCTCACAATCTAAACGAGACACAACACATACACACAGGACATAAACACAGGGAGTGGGCATCTTCAAGGGATACAGATGGTCAGAGGAGCCACGGGCTGGGGCACACAGCGTGTTCAAGCATTGTCCTTCTGGGGGTCTTGGTGGGGGAGAGAGGAGAGCAGAACATGGCCCAGGATGGCCTTCCAGAAAGCGTCAGGAGAAAGAGAACACCCGAGGGCAGTGGTCCCAGGCTCAGGGAAGGGGGCAGGTCTCCGTGTAGTCATGGATGAAGAGAAACCTTACGAAGTGAAGGCAGGAGAATGAGGCCAAAAGTCCAGGAGAAGGCCCTGAGCCCATGGCATGGGGCTGTCACCTCTGCTGGGCCGAGCTGTCCCTGCTTTGAGGCCCAGTTTTCCAGAGCCATTTTCCCAGGCAAAACCGGCACAGAGGTTCTGGGAAGGGGCACTCTTGAGTCTACTTACCTGACCCTTGGGTTCCCTCCAATCTCTGGGGCAGAGATCAGAAGACCAGAAATAACCACCTTGTAACTGGATGTTTACACCAGGTTGTCAGAAATTGATGGACGGGAAGGGAGAGGGTGGGCAGCTTCAGGTGGGGGTACTCAGTGCTGCGTGAGGACGCAGCTGCTGGTCAGGTGCTGGGGAGCAGAAGGCATGATGGCCACCCTCACACTGGAAGTGGACACATGACAACAGAGGGCCCTCCTTCCCTTTGTACCTATAACAGAGGTAGCATCTTCCCTGAAGAACCCTGAGAGCTGCCGGGCTTCTGCTTCCCCAGGTGGTGTGTGCGGGTGGGGAGGGAGGGGAAAGGGGCTGGGGTGGTGTGTCCCTCTGTGGTTTGATACTGCAGGAGGAAATAGCTTACCCGGGGCCACAGTGGCTGGAGGACAGTGAGCCCAGTTCCCTCAGGCTGGGGCTGGTCTCAGGCTCTTTTGAGTTGGAGAGACTTTTCTAGTCCTAAAGGATTAAACCCAGAAGGGGTGGAGAGAAGCCATAGGTCCAGCTAATAGAACTGGAGCTCTTCAGGGACCAGGAAGGAGAGGCTGACCTGAAACCATGGTGGCCCAGCCAGAGTTCGGGTGGGGAAGGTGGAGGGTCCCTTTTGGTTTGTCTGACCTGCCTTGGAGGGTGGTGAGGGCCCCCCAGGAAATGAAGGAGGGGATGTTGGACTAGGCGAGCTACAGCAGTACCCCTCAGACCTACGGTGACTCCACCCCCAACAAACCTTGCTTCAGGCCTGATCCCAGAGGTGTGGCTGTTCCCCTTTCTGGGCAGCTGGTGGGTTTGTATTCTAGATCTGAGGAAGGGCCGGAAGGCCTCATCACCAGTGAACACAGATCTCCAAGGTAACGAGTTGAGAGACTGGACCCCAGGCTTCCCCACCCCCCTCACCCCATTGCCTCTTCCTCTGGGAGGCGAGGGAGGGCTGGGACCCACGGAGGAAATAGCCAAGGCCCTACTTTTCCACGATCCTTTATTAATCAGAACAGGCCGTGCCACAAAAGCAAGGCCCATTCCCACAAAAATAGGATTTTGCAAAGAGGAAATCTTGCTGGCTTAGAGGGTGCATGTGGTGGAAAATTGTTGTATGGTTTTTTTTCCTTTTTTTTTTCTTCAGTTTTTCTTCATTTCTCTTCACTGCAATTTTTT